ATATATCGAAACCAATGTTAATTATCTAAACTCCTGTAATAATAATGGTAATGCGCACGTGATATCGCGATGGTAAATCTGTGATGTCACAATGGTATCACGATACACACATTACGCGTCTCTACACGGCACTAGAGTAACCGTGTGTGTCGATAGACAGTATATCTTTGTATCATTTGTGCAGAGTATTAACATTGTTATTTCGCAACTAAATATACACGATATGCCCGATTGTGTGGACACACGCATTACATATTTTAAATATTGTGTCTATATAATGCACCATACATAATGATTGTGTGTCTGTATCATGCACCGTACACAATTAGTGGAGTGCGTCTATAATGTATATAATGATTAGTGTATGTCTATAAAACACTGTACACAACGATCAATGTGTTTCTTGGCTCCATCTGCCCATCTTGCGCTTAGTGTTTTAAACATGTTTATATGAATATATAAAATATAGGACAATTTATAGGATTACTATTGGCATATGCATAAACGTTTATTCTAGCGGTAGTGGCAGTGCCTTACGCCGATAACCCCTACTCTAAGCAAAGTCTAGCAGCAGTGAAGCGCTGTATATATACACACGAATATATAATTATGATGCATGTGCATACTAAATACAAATGTTGTGAATATGCACACACCGTGTATAGGCGTATGCACACCACTGAATGTGTTTGTGGGTGTAGACTATACACAGCGTGCGTGTGTACTGCACATTGGTGATAACGCGTGTAAACGCGGCTGTAAATACACACATAAATACTCTTACACAGAGCAACACATAACTACACATTACACACAAAGGCATAAACATACCATGCACCCGATACTCTCTCACACACACAGGAGCATCTCACACGCACTCACAAACATAAACAGACACGCGAGCGCCGGGCGCGTAAATACACATGACACACACACACATAACCGCGAACCACACACACACATAAATACACATTACCCAGACACAGCGAGCGAGCACACACACACACTTATGCCGACACACAGACGCATATATATCGAACAAAGACAAAGATCCCCCGTATAGCCTTTAACAGACAGTTGTGCCGACACGGGACATGGGCTCAGTCGGCGGCCAGCACGACGCCCGGCCGCCTTTGTCTACCCAATGCTGCTGTTTACACACCGCGACCCAGGTACTCGTTTAAGACTGAGTCGGCCTTGGGAAGGGGTTCTGGACCGGTGCAGATATCCGCCACCGATGTTGGCTGTTAAAAGGGAATCGAACTCGGGTCCGGCCCGGGTTAGGAGCGCAATGCGCTAACCACTGCGTCACCGGTGTCCACACGCACAGAGACAAAAGACAAATAAACTTCGAATACCCTTAACAGACTGTTGGAATAAATACTTTTAGCGAGCGCCTATTAGGGCCATATATACGCACGTCATAGATATATACACATACATGCACGTATATCCACACACGACACACACACCACGTGTTCCTACACACGGACGCGCACACGCATTGCACCCTTCCACGCTGTGCACACACCAACACGTGTACACAAAACACCCATCTCGCCCTGTAGCCCACACACACGCGCGCACTCGCACCAATATATCACTCATTGTGCAAGATCACTCGAGCGCGTGACAGCGATACCAGAGTCTGTGTATACACGCACATCACCCGGATACACACGGGACATGCGTACACACATAGACACTGCACGTATCACACGTATACACAACACACGTATATACAACATATATACACGTATACACGCAATATACGTGTACAACACCGCACACGTGTACATATGCACGCATCTGTAGTGTGTGGAATGATAACGATTAACGTAAGTTCTAGGAATGAGAGAGGTGACATTTTGCACAAATGCAGTCGAGTATTTTGAGTACAGTACAATTAAATTCCTGACTCACACGATCATCATCATCATCATCGGTGAACCGAGTAATTTGCCGCCGGCGGAGTGTGACGATAATGCCGACGGAAAGCTGCAAGCGAGCGAGACCCGCTCGCTCTCCGTCCCCGTGTTCGCACCCGGGCCCTAACCGGGTCACTCCGACACCGCTGGCCTCCTCTGTCACTCTCAGCCTCCACTGGGTAATGCTGCTGCACTATCGACGTTTAATATCGCGCGCAAATACAACGACTCTCCGTCTTGCCGTAAGACGGTTGGGGCAAGTGCGAGCACCATGTGGGCCGCTAGGACATACGGAGGGGCGGGTGGGCAGCGGCGATATTTAATAACCACACCGAGTTCTAATTTGAGGTTGAGTTTACTACGAACGGTGCGAAATAAGTTCAACATACCTACGTACACCGTATATATACACATACATGTATATGCTAATACATACACACGTAGACATGTGTGTACACACACACACGTGTACATATATACATATGTACATGCACGAGTGAGTCGAGGCCTGGAGCGCGGGTCAGGTGCGCGCGGGGGCCGTGGTGATGCTGGTGATGTCGATGATGTTGACGATGATGATAATGATGATGTTGGTGCTGATGTCGCTGATGGTGATAATGGTTGTGGTGGTAGTGTTGGTGCGGATGGTGATAATGGTGGTGATGCTGGTGATGGTGATGATGTCGATGATGTTGACGATGATGATAATGATGATGGTGATGTTGGTGCTGATGTTGCTGATGGTGATAATGGTGATGATAATGGTGGTGATGGTAGTGTTGGTGCTGATAATGGTGGTGATGGTGATAGTAGTGATAGTGCTGATCGTGGTGATGCGTGTGCGCGCGCGTGTGCGCAAATCGACCACTCAATCATACACGCACATTCACACAAATACACTGCTAAAGACCACCCATATAGTCTCGAACATACTTCGGGCAAGTAATGTTAGCGAGCACCTATTTAGACCGGAATGCAGCACGAGGGAGTGGAGTGACCAGTACTGCGCTCTGGGGGACACTCTCGCACTCACGCTCACTCACACTCACTCACGCACTCACACTCACTGACTCTCGCACTCACACTCACTCACTCACTCTCACACTCACTCTCGCACTCACTCTCACACTCACCCTCGCACTCACTCTCACACTCACTCACGCACTCACACTCACTGACTCACGCACTCACACTCACTGACTCTCGCACTCACACTCACTCACTCTCACACTCACTCAATCTCGCACTCACGCTCGCACTCACTCTCACACTCACGCTCGCACTTACTCACTCTCACACTCACTCACTCTCATATTCACTCACTCTCGCACTCACACTCACTCTCGCACTTACACTCACCCTCGCACGCACTCACTCTCACACTCACTCATTCTCACTCACGCACTCTTTATCACACTCACGCATGCACTCGCTCACTCACACTCACTAACTCTCACACTCACCCACTCTCACATTCACTCACTCTCACTCACTCGCGCGAGTGCAGACCCCCTCCCGTGTCCCTTAGACTCGCCAAGCGCGCGTCTCCGTGCTTCCACGGGGCCGCGCGTGCACGCGCGCCGCTCCCGGGACGGGATGGGGAGGAACGGGAATCAGAGAAAAGGAAACAAAGAGGGGGGCACAGGGAGGGGGGGGGGCATGCGGTGCTGGAAAGGGTTTCTTCACAGCAGCACCCTACCTCTGGGGAGACGCAGGGAGGCGCGGGGAGTCGAGGCGGGTGCTGAGCGCGGGGAGTGACGCGAGGCGGAGACCCCAGGACGTGGACCCGCGACGGAGCCCGGAGACACGCGGGGAGACGCGGGGCGATGAGATGGAAGAGCAGAGGAACGGCAACAAAGAAGAGACGCAGGGAGAGGAGCAGGGAGAGTAGGGAAGAGGAGGAACGGAGAGAATCGGGGTACATTAGCGAGGAGAGGTGACGTTGGGAGAGGAGACGCGGGGAGAGGAGACACGAGAGGAGACGCCGCGCTCCCGTGCGGCTCTGTTCCCTCTGGTGCCCTCGCGGCTGATGAATCCAATGAGAGGCGAAGCCACGCAGCTCCGCAACGCCGCCTCCACCTTCCAGAGCCGCGGGGAGGAGCGCGACTACGCCACCGGCAGCGGCCATCGCTCAAAATTCACCACAAACACGGGGGGGAACTTTCATCCGCCGGCCTCGCGTCTGGTTTTGTGCGATTTGGGGGGGCCGGTGGGGGGTTCGAGGGGGGGGGAGTGGTTGATGTTGTTGAGGAAACTGAGCAGAGGGAGAGCGCAGCGCGGATCTGTGTGCGCGGCCCGGGACTCGGAGAGAGATGGGAGCCCCTAACCGCGATTTATGCGCCGCGAAAATGCGCAGCGTATCCAGCTTCATCAGCACCCCCATCATCATCATCATCACCCCCATCATCATCCCCATCATCATCATCTCTCGCTACTGCACCACCACCATCGCACGCTGCGTCACCATCATTATCATCATCATCTCTCGCTACTGCACCACCATCGCACGCTGCGCCACCACCATCATCATCTCAAGCTTCACCCATCATCTGACGCTGCACTGCCACCATCATCCTCCGCTTCACCATCATCTCACAACTTACCATCATCTCACCATCATCATGTCACGGACCAACATCATGGTCATCATCTCACACCTCAACATTATCATCCGACGTCCCAACATAGTCGTCATCATCATGTCACGCTACACACTCACATCACTCCGGTTCATCCCTGTTGAGCTTCGTTCATCTTCCAAGCGGTACCTATCATCTCCTTTTACCACAAGCTATATCTCCTGCTCATCTCCGCTCATCTCTGCTCATGTTTGTTCCTCTCCCCCCCCCCCCGCTCTCCCGTGGTGCTGAGTGAGTGAGCGAGCCCGCGTGGCCCCGCGCGTGCCCGTGCTAAGTGCCGCTGCCATCGCGAACGCGCGCTCGCACTCGTGGCGCGGGGGGGGGGGGGGGGGGCTGAGGGAGGGGCAAGGCGACGCTAATTCGGAGGGGAGGAGGAGGGGGAGAAGGGGTGCAAGGGGAGGGGGGGGAGTCAGTAGCCCTCACCTCGTCAGATCTCATTGGCTGTGATTGCGTGACGGCCCTGATTTAGGTGGCTCATAAGGCCGGCCCATTAGGCGTCGCGCCGTTATATTCATCGGCCGGCGGCGACGCGCGGCCACTGCCGCGTGGCATCAACTTTAACAGCTACGACATCGACGATAAAAACAACGACGACATCGACCAGTGTGACGAGAGCGAGCAGAGCGGGCGGCGGGAGACGAGCGTGAAACGAGATCAGGGGAGATTAGGGGCGAGAGCGCGGAGGAGGAGGGGGGGTGGGAGCCGCCCGGCGCGGCAGCAGCCTCGCGATGCTGTCGCACGCAGACATGCTGGACTCGCGACTCGTGCAGAGGAACATGTACTCCGCCGAGGGTGAGACACCGCGGCCAGACACGCAGCGACACGCCGAGTCAAACCTCCAAACGCCGAGATGCGCAGACACACGCACCTAATCAAGTCACGCTTGGAGACTTAGAGAGAGACACGCTGAGACATACTGAGATACGCGGAGACATCGAGACACGCGGAGACACCGAGACACGCGGAGATGCGCGCGGCGAGCGGAACTCCCGTTTCCATTCATCTCCATTAGCGCGGCGTGTTTACATTCACACGCGCTAGCGTGCGAGCAGCACCACGTGTCTCTTCGCTAGCGAGGGGACCCGGGAAGGGGACCTCTGCTAGTCTGTATCCTGGTAAGGGGAACTCCGAAGACAGGGGTCCCGAGTGAGAGATATTTTGGGACGCGCATCCTTGGAATTGGAGACTCCGGTAAAGGCGTCCTGGCTAAAAGGGACCCCTCTAAAAGGGGCTCAAATAATGGAGACCCCCCCCCCATCTCACGGACCCCCCCACCCATCACTCCCCCCTTCTTTTCGTATGTTCAGGTCTCAAGGATCACTCGGAGATGCTGCGAGTCGCCGAGGCCAGCAAGTGTCGCCTGGTCGGGGTGGGGGGCAGCGGGAACGAGCACCCGTGCGTCTCGGGGGGGTGCGGGGGCCCCGACGGAGTCACGATGCTGGGAGGGGACGAAATGCAGAACCAGGGCCCCGGCGGCGGCGGCGGAGGAGGTGGTGGAGGTGGAGGAGTAGGAGGTGGAGGAGGTGGTGGTGGTGGTGGAGGAGGAGGCGGCTCGGGGCTGTCGGCTCTCAAGGAGCCGGACAGCAGCAAGCAGGCGGGGGTGGCGCCGCAGAAGCAGAAGCGGCACCGCACGCGCTTCACGCCCGCGCAGCTCAACGAGCTCGAGCGCAGCTTCGCCAAGACGCACTACCCCGACATCTTCATGCGCGAGGAGCTGGCGCTGCGCATCGGCCTCACCGAGTCGCGCGTGCAGGTGCGTGCCGCGCGCGTGCAGGTGTGTGCACGTGTGCGCGAGCCGGGGCGGGTGGGGGATACGGGGGTGCGTGTACAGATGCGGCAGGGTGTCATCTGGATGCGTGCGTATTGCGCGCGGGTGTGTACACGCGCGGGTGTGTACACGCGCGGGTGTGTACACGCGCGGGTGTGTACACGCGCGGGTGTGTACACGCGCGGGTGTATACACGCGCGGGTGTGTACACGCGCGGGTGATCGCGCGTGGTTTGTTGACGTGTGCGTGCAAGTCTGATGTGCGTGTGTGTTCACGTGCGTGCGTGTACGCGTGTGCGTGCGTGTTCACGTGCGCGTGTGCGTGCGTGTACACGTGCGCGTGTGCGGCGTCATTATCATCGACACCGAGCTACGGTCGCTGTCATTAGCGCCGCCTTGCTGCTGCCATCGTCGTCGTCGCTGTCGCACTCCGCCACCGTGAACTCATCACCGTCTTGTCGACCCTGTTGTCGTGGTTCCTGTCATCGTGGTGGTTGTTGTCGTAGTGGTTATTGTCGTTGTTATCGTGGTAATTGCTATTGTGGTTGTTGTTGTCGTTGTGGTGGTGGGTGTCGTTGTCGTGGTGGTGAGTGTCGCTGTTTCTGAGTTTATCGCAGACGAGCGCGACACCAGCGCGACCGCGGCGCGCTGCGTTCGCGACCCATAATGTGGGCAGCTTAAGTCGCGATCCTAGATCGATAAATACACCAACAACTACTCGAGAGTTACACGAGCGACAATCAGAATGTTGACAACAACAACAACCATAATAATAGCCTTGGTAACTCTAATTCATAGCGGCCATCGGATGACGATCCTGGCAGAACAATCAGAACTCATAACACAAACAGCGGCAGTGCTAATCAGAACGAAAGCATAAAAATAGCAACTCTGACCATAGTTAACTAGTATAGCAATAGTTACTGATACGAATCGTTAATTGTAACAATAGTTCACTGGTTAGATATTACATTAGTTAAATAGTATGATAATAGTTAAATGTAACAATTGTTAACTGGTTAGCTATGGCAGTGGTTAAACTGCTTATATTTGACAATGGTTCGCTGCCACAACAAGAGCTACTCTACGCTACCGGGAAGGTGTTTGCCGCTGCGTCCGCACCGTCAATTCCCGCAGAAGTTCCCGGCACGTGGAGCGAAACGTCGGACATAGCGTCACACACCACGCGGCGGCACAGCAACCCGACAGCGAGAGTAGCCCAATAGCTGCCCAGTTACAGTAGCCATCCCGTGAACAATAACAACTACAGCGGGTTGGCAGCGATGATGCTGATGGTGGTGATGCTTATGGTGGTGTTGGTGATGATGGTGATGATGGTGATTATGGTGGTATTGGTGGTGATGATGGCGGTGGAAGTGATGATGCCAGTGGTGGTGATGGTGGTGGCTATCATAGTAGTGTTGATGGTGATGCTAGGTTGGGTGTAAAGTTGCGCCACGTCCACGAAGTCTGAGCGAGTCCCCGTGGCGGCAATCATCGCCGCAGCGCTGCTCGGCAGTCCGCGGACTGTCGGCGTGAGTCCCGCAGCGTGAAACCCGGGACCCACATCTCGGGTGTGGGTCCCGCAGCGTGCCGGGGACCACCACATAAACATTTATTCGTCATTGTACAATTATTAATGCTATGGTGATGATTATTATCATCGATATTGTCACGAGGGTGGGTCATGACCATCCGACAGGGGCCCGGGCGCGTCTCGTGGCGTCGCCGATATCTCTCATCGCCGTTTCCATCGGCGTCGTCGGTGCTGTCGCGCGATGTTCAGAGTCGGCGTTGTCGTTTTCCGTTAGCTGTGTTGTCGCTGCTGGCGGTGTCGATGTTGTTGCGTGCCACTGCTACGCACGCTTGCGCGCGCACTCACTCCCACGGAGGCAAAGCTCCCCCGGGTAGCCTGCACAGACTGTTGGGATGAGTGCTGGTCACGAGTAGTGCCCGCGAAGGCCGGCGCGGCGCGCGACCAGATCGGGAGATCCAGAACCGGTTCAGATGTCACTCGCCACTGACGTGAGCCGTGGCCAGGATCGGAACTGAGGTAGCTGACTTCAAAGCGCAGTGCGCAAAACCACTGCCCCACACCTTCACTGCCCCGCACTGACCACTACGCTCGTCAGTGCGGGGTCAAATGACCCCCATGACCAAACACGGCGTGGGGAGGCCTCACGCAGCAGTGGATTGCATGCGCGTGCGCACGTACACATATACGACTACATATGCGAGCGTGAGTGTTTATTTATTTATTTGCCTATTGTGTTTACCAGTTGATGTGTATTGGTGTATGTGTGCACATATGCGTACGTTCATAGTATACGTATATATGTGTATACTGTATATGTGTATATGTGCATGTTTCTGTCTTTGCATGCATTTGCGTATTTGTCGTTGTATGTATATATGTAGAGCGGAGCGGGAGCCACCCAAGTTAGATTATCGTACTGGCCACCAACACCAGTGACGATTATCTGAACCGGTCCCGGGCCTCTCCTAGGTCGACTCAGACTCAAATTAGTACCTGGTGCGATGCGTAAACATCAACATCATCGGCCATGTGTAGTTGTGGCTACCCCCTCGTGTGTCGTACCGACCTTCATAGGTGCTCGCGAACAGCACTTGCCCCAACAGTCTGTTAAGGCTATACGGGGGATCTTTGTCGTTTTATATAATATTTGTGTATGTGTGTGCATGTATGTAATATGTATATGTAACTGCGATTACTATATGTGGGTATGAATGTGTGTACGTGTGTACCGGTATGTCAGGATGTATGTACTCTTGCACCCGGTTCGCGTTAACGAGGAAGGGGGTGAGGATGCGTGCATCCGGGACTCGGTGCCTCTAGGCTCGGTGCCTCTGCACGAGACTCCTCTGCACCCGGGGTCTCTCTCAGTGCTGAGCGCGTGAAGCGGCGTGCACGCCATCAATAGGCGCTCGCTCACAGCGCTTGCCCCAACAGTCTGTGTCGGCCACATGGGATCTGTGTGCTTTGTTTGCGAGTGTGTGTGTTTGGGGTTTTTAAGCGTGTACATGCGCCGTACCTCGCCCCGCACGACCTGTGTGTGCTGGTGGTGATGCCTCACGCTCTCACCCTTATCATATAACGTGCACGCTATCGTGTACACACAAACGAGATGGTATACGCCCTATGCCATCGCCTACCATGTCTTACATACGCGCCCTTAGAGGTTCGGATGTGCATTTTCATCAGTCATGATATATGTGCATTTTCATCAGTCATGGTCGATCCACTGTTGGATGAAGGCTTCCCCCAGGTCGCCGCCATGTATATTCACCACATCATAAAACAAACACGGATGATTCTATATTATACAGAGTTATATTCCCATGCGATACACCGTAGTAGAACGTACACGCTCATAAATACACTCCTATTTCTCGAACATTTTACACATGCACCAACACCAGTGACGATTAACCGAACCGGTCCTGGGCCTCCCCTAGGTCGACCCAGCCTCCAATGCGTGCCTGGTGCGGTGTGTAGATTTTACTACGAGGGAGACAAAGGCGAATGGGCGTGGTGCTAGCCACCCATCAACTTCGTTGTGTGCCGGTCTTTGAAGGTGCTACTCGCTAACAGCACTTGCTCCAACAGTCTGTTACAAACTATTCGTGTATAATAATGGTACACGTGTTGTTAATATAGATGACGGTGCGTTGGGGTGATGAAAACTGCGATGATGTTCTGGATGGCCTAGACGGCTGAAACGTGGCACGAACGTTGTCGAGTCTCCGCTGAGCATTAAACAATCTCACACGCAAGCCCAGCAGCATCGGTGAACCGAGTAATTCGCCTCCCGCGGAGTGTGGCGCTGAAGCCGAAAGAGAGCGAGCATAGCTCGCTCACTCCGATGTTACTAAAATACAAAGGAAAATATTCCCCGTACATCCTTAACAGACGGTTGGGGCAAGTACTATTTGCGAGAAACAACGAAGACCGGCAACACACTCGGCCACCTTTGTCTCCTCAGTAGCAATTATTGGAAGGCTCATAACCAGTTAAAATAATCGCTGTCTTTGTTATTGGTCGTTAGCGGGAATCGAACTCGGGTTGCCGGGTTCGTCGCGCAGTGTGATAACTAATACACCGCGTGTCCGAACAAACCGCTTGTTACGAACGCACCCGTATACGAACATATGAGTGTGCATGTGTGTGTTTGTGTGTGTGTGTAGTGGGGAGCGATAGTGTAGCGGTTAGCGCGCTGCGCTATGAACCTGGCGACGCGGGTTCGATTCCCGCTCACGGCCGACACCAGTGACGATTATCTGAACCGGTCCTGGGCCTCCCCTAGGTCGACTCAGCCTCAAATGAGTACCTGGTGCGGTGTGTAAACATTGCCACTAGGGAGACAAAGGCGGTCGGGCGTGGTGCTGGCCACCCACCCCCTCGTGTACCGTTCCGGCCTTCATAGGTGCTCGCTAACAGCACTTGCCCCTACAGTCTGTTAAGGCTATATGGGGGATCTTTGTCTTTTGTTGTGTGTGTGTATATGTGAGTGTGTTTGTGTATGTGAGTGTGTATGTTTGTGTGTGTGTTTGTGTATGAGGATGTGTTATCCATAATAAAGCTGTTTTGGATTAGATCGCGTCAATATATGTTTGTATTGTGGGGAGTGGAGGCGCAGCAGTTAGCGCCGTTGACTCACACGTCCTGCGCTCCGAACGCGGCGACCCGAGTTCAATTCCCATTAATAGCCAACACGAATGACGATTATTTGAAACGGTCCTGGGCCTCCCCTAGGTTGACTCAGCCTCATATGATTACCTCGTGCGCTGTGTAAGCATCGTCACTGGGAAGACAAAGGCGGTCGGGTGTGGTGCTGGCCACCAACCCCCTCGTGTGCCGCGCGCTTACATCGCTTTCCCCAACACTCTGTTAAAGGCTACAATGGGGATATTTGTCTTTATGAGTGTGCATGAGTGTGTTCGTAGCCTAAACAGCTTTTGTTCGGCCGGATCGAGGAGGCTAAACGG